GTAGTAAGTAGTAAGCAAAACGTTAGGCCACCTGTGCCACCCACGATGCCTTCGATGGGCTTTCACTTCCGATCGCTCGGATGAATTCGTTGTGTTTGAGATAAGTTTTGAAACGTTTCTTTCAGTAGTAGTAAGCAAAACGTTAGGCCACCTGTGCCACCCACGATGCCTTCGATGGGCTTTCACTTCCGATCGCTCGGATGAATTCAGTCGTTGTGTTAACTGCAAGACCCTTTCTTGCTGAGGTGATTAGGGAGGCATCTTAATAGTCGTACTAAAAATATTGTTTAGCTGTCGTTCCCCTACTCTTTTCAGATGAATTTCACGGCCAATAACAGAGATATACTTAAAACAATGAGTCGTAAAACACTCAGGTTTGAATGAAACATTTTGATGGTGGTTTCTACTAGCCGGTTACTGTATTTTTCAACATCAGGATTACTAAAACTAACTGAAATGGTGTTGGTCGATGGAGGCTTTGAGGATGTCTGAAGTGGTGGTGCTTGTATTCCTGTGCGCTAACATATTCACTTGTTCGTACATGATGATTAAAGTGACCGGGGTATGTATCGGATTTGATTTAAAATTATCTCCTGGCATTTTGGATATCCGGTGTCCAGATCCGGATGCACTCAAACGTACGCACAGCTGGTCTCCAGTGGGATAAAAATCGGACCCAGTGCTGTCTTTTTGTGTGAATTCACCAAACTAATTGAGGTAGAGCTGGATGAAAAATAGTTGAGTGGCAGTGATGCGAATGCATATGCTCCAAAGTCTGCAGTCACAGTTGAGCAGTTCCTTATTTTACGCGTGGTAAAATTGCTATTTTGATTGCGCATTCATTGTCGGTTTCGACTAGCGGCACGCCTGGTGAAACTGCGAAGCGTACTGCTAACAACAAGGTACATCTCCGCCAAGCGAAATCTTTCATAAGCAGAAAACCTCATGGTATTGAAGTAGCCAACAATTTAATTAGATGTAATCTACAGCCGTCTAACAAGGACTGATGGCAAGTTGGTTTTTCAATACGAATTCAGGTTGATTACAATGAATATCATTCTGTTCTGTAGGTCAAATATCTCAAAGCGAGACCTGGAAAATATTCTACCATGGAGCGGCAGGGTGCCAACTCCCGTAGACAAAGACTGGCAAGTCAACGGAGCCGGTATACTGCACAGCCCGAGTGCAGGATTCGGTCTGCTTGATTGTACACGCATGGTACATTTGACACAAATGTGGAGACCGGTCGGTCCGTTGTGCAGAAGGAAAGTGAAGCTGGGTGAACCTGAAGTTACTCCATGGGCCGAATATCAGGATGCGATTTTCAATGATTCGCACTTCCATCAGCTGAACGCAACAACTCTGGGGAGCTTTCGGGAACAACTGAAAGAACTTCAGAAGAGGTAGCTTCACATGACATTAATCTTATACGATCCCACTAAGAGCCATCTTCCTTACTTATTATATGCAGTGCAGGAAATAAAAGGTAGCATTCCTTTGCGTAACTGCGTGGCCGTCGGACATGCACTGTTGATTATTCCTAAAAAGGCATCAAGACAAAGACCTCTAGTTGGGTGTTTTGTGTTGTGTTATGATCGTATCTGACCCAAAACAATATCATTAGGAAAATACACACTCGCTATCTGCGTACAATTTGGTGTCGAACTAAAACATGAGGTGGAAAACTACTCGGGGCTGTGCCTCAATCTTAAGCTCCAAGAAAGACAAAAGTGGTCGTAAGTTGCAGAACAATTCCCGGCAACCTTTCAGATGATGCGGTTGGTCAAGAAAATAAAATATCTTTGACAAGCGTATAATGCAACATCTTGAGCACTATGCAACAGGTGATAACTCAAAGGTGCAACGATGCTTCAAACGTTCGTGTGTATATACACCTACCTTCTGCGAAAAACAAAAGATGGGAAATGGAACAATTGTAGAAGACCAGGAAGACCAGTAATTAATTGAATGAAAATAAACAAACTTTGCCCTTACTCGAACAGACTTTTGAAGCTTCTTAGAATCCGATGTAAACTTGCAAGCTGGCACACTCTTGATAAGTAGGTGGGAGAATCTGTTTCTCCATTCCACACAACTTGTTCCAGGTAGCCGAGGCACCACAGCTATGGCAAACATCAACTTTTGGTTCATTGTCTGAAGTAAAAGCAATACAGTTATACATGCAACAGATGTAACCCATTAAACTGCGTCCGAAGAACTCAGCTCACAGGATTGTGCTGAGCTGCGATGAGGTCAGATAACACTCAAATTCTTAAAAACGTGCCTTTCTTGGTTTGCGGCTTACGCTTTGGGCGTTGAAAATTGCAAAAGGTACGAAGGACTCATGAAGAACAAGAGCCACTCAAGACAAAATATAAGTACTTATTTGTATAAGTGGAAGCCTTTTTGTATACTCACGTAGCATTATTTGGTGAAAAAAATTGTTCTGTATCACGTTCCGGGGGAAATTCTCATGTTCAAAACTGAACAGCTTATAATTTGAAAACATTAGTCCATGGTATTTCTGTTTTTTGGTTCCAAAACCGTGTCAGTATCCACAATATTCAATAATTTATATGGGGTAACTCGGTCATTAGGGCGCGAAAACGAGTGACCTGGTTCTCCATGGTCAGAACTCAATCGTGGCTCTTCAGCCAGCCACGCCTAAACTTCGCCACTCTGGTGCTTCTGTTGAGGTTTAGGCAGCTATGCATTAAAAGAGCGCCAAAGCTTAGTGATTATTTTTACCGAGTTAATCATACGGACAGGTAGCTGGTTTTAACCGGAATGTATTCATCCACTGAACGGGTCAGTGGATCAGTGGGCTCGCGCCTCAACAGAGATTCTTACAATGGGAACATACGTACGGTGCATACCGGCTTTTCAACACAAATCCGCGGAGTAAAAGCTTAGACAAATTAAATGTTGTTCTCTCTCAATTAATGGTTCGTTTGTGATCAAAAGTGGTTAACACCCCGTTCTTTGTTCTCCCTTGTATGCCGGATGATCGGGTGGATGGAGATCCAATCCTTATTGAATCCAGCAGCTTATATGAGCCAAGTTTTGCAATTTTAGCTAACCAGCTTTCATATTACTGAGATGCACGGCAGATTTGAATTGCCTCTGGTTTATGGTGTTTTTCACTGACATATCTTTAGCGCACGTGGATGAATCCTACCTTACTGGTTACAGGGAACGATGCTTCCGATGCTTCGTTGAATAAGCCAACATAAACCCCAAGACAGTCTCTGCCCTTCGCCTTCAGAAGTTGTCTGACAAATCCCGTTACATCTATTTCATGTGTAAGCAAAAGCGACTCATAGATGCAGACATGCGACAGTATGGTTAATCGGTTAATCAGCAGGCCATCAGCATGTCAAGACCGGGTTAGCGTTCAACAGAGAGCATCAACATAGGACCGGAACACGAGATTTTTACATGTGAATAAGCGGCGTAATCCAGTAAAATTCTTCTATCTTAACGAGACTTCGTTGAGCTTATCCTACTCATCGTGAACTAAACCAATTTTCCTGAAGTATTCCCATTGTGATGTAGAGTTCTGCTACCCCGTATGATACTCCGGTTTTCCCACTATCACATTAGTCCGATCCCAACTACAGCTTCTCAAAAGCACACACTTTCAACTAACACTCATACTTCAGAGACATTTAGTGCTGGCTGTTTTCAGGTAAGGTTTTCCGTTCTAGAACAGTTATTTTAAAACCTTTCACTTCTTTCTTCGAACATTACCTGCGCACATGTAGATGCGAGTTCAATCAAATGCCTAACGGTGCGAATCCAAAATTATAGGTCCTTTTCCAGGCCGATGGACAGATCAGAGGCTGTGGATATAAACTTCGATCTAGAAGAAAAGCCCAGGGATTCATGCGAACTAGAAGTGGTCGAAAAGGTCACTGTTTCATTTCAGTGGAAGCACATGTGCCGAGGAATGATCGATATCGAACTGACGAGCCCTTCTGGAACCCATGCAACCATTTTGGGTCATCGACGTTTGGACCAGTTTGCTGGAGCCGTTAACATGACCGTCAATTCCGTCACGTTTTGGGGTGAGCGGCTTCAAGGCAAATGGCAAGTTAAGGTAAGTGTGTAACTCCGTTTCGCCTTCCATGGAAGTGCAGTTCATCCTCGCTAAAACGCGTCCACCAATAATTTTTATCTAATCAACTCAAATCGTGCAGTTGCTGTTAACATTTCTCCGTAGAGGAGAGATTTCATACACTTCTTTGAGCACAATATTATCTAGTTTGTCGCATTTATCCTCAATATGTAGCTCTCACTTTTTTTTAGACTTGCCTCCTGTGAGCAGCTTTCTGGATTGCTTTTAGTTGCGACGCAATCAGAGCAAGTTTTAACAGTATTGTGCTATGGACTTCAAATCTACAGAGCCACACTTCCTAGGCATATAGTTGATGGTAGTTTCTCGCCAGCCTTTACGCCCCTCCAGCCAAAAGTTACTGTAGACAATCAACCCTCCAAATGGTTAAGAGACGGAAAGTTTCTTATTTCCAGTATTCTAGAGATTCTTTTGAAGTTTGCCGAAAAAATCCAAGCTAAAGGTGAGTCTAAAAGGATGTTCTCTGTTGATTCGGACTCATTATTTACCATCACGAGAGACGGTAAACAATCTTGCGTTTCAGTTACCACCCAAAATATCTCCGCGGCCAGTGTTGTTCCATTATTTGGGAAGCTTAATTTACTCTGTACGGGGAAGGTCGTTTACATTTTGAAGAAGTCACTTATAAAAGGGTCGATTATGGACAGTCCTTCAAGCTCAACACTGAAGAACTTTTTACACCAAAAAAACGGTCTTTTGTGTGCAATCAGCAATTCGTTTTCCTGCTCAAAATAAGATGACAAGTTACATTTTACTTCTGATCAGTCTTTAGGCCCTTTTTTGAAGACTGACTGACGCTACTCCTAAATTATGTGAATCCATTGAGGGGAAGTCTTACGTAATCCGAATTTTTGTAGTTCTGCTAACAACGCGACGTCTTGTAGGAAAATCCGAAAGTATTTTTCGCAAAAGAACTACTTCGGTTGGACTGTGCTGAAGCTTCTTTCTATAGGCGAGATCCAGTTAAGATATTTTCTACCAAACGGAAAATAGCGGCACGTCGTATTATTTATTCGCAAAAAACTATCGCTGGGTGGCACTGAATACTCTCAAGTTAACTAAACTGCCGGGTAGCCGCCGGGAGTACGCGAGTTGGAAATGAGATGCGCACCGCTGATGATTCCGAAGAAGAAAACATGTAGACTTGTTGTGGTGTAAATACAGGACGATATCTCCGTTGTTGATGCAGACTCATGGAACCAACATTAAGCCAGAAAAATATACTGTCTAGTACGGCAAGCCAATCTCACGACGCGGCACAATCAGTAGAACACAAAAGGAATAAATTGTGAGAGGCTTGGCACTTGAAACAACCGCATCATTAAATGATTGTGTTAGGAGGTAGAACTTGCCTTGATCTACACTCATCAGATACTCAGCTCTGTCTCCCATCTTTGAACCAAAACCTGCCTTTCCATGCATCCTTGCACACCTTTTATCCGCCACCCTAAAGTTGCAGAGAGGCACATTAGTAGAACGAGAAGATTACCTCCGTGCTGGATTTGCGGACGTTTCCCAAGACAGTTACCAAGGCATATGCAACAGACTGACCACAGTGGACAGACTATAACAGGTAACACTCGGTAGCACCCATTACAAGTCACACACACACAAGGTCAAACTTATTGATGAAAACCGTGAACTTTTTGAAGCAAAAATAAACAAATGCCGGCAACCAAAACAAGTTACCGCTTCAGTAGTAGTCGGTCATTGCTTCGGTGACCATAGCTCGATTTCAAATTTGTGCTTTTGATTTTGGCCTTACAATGAAACATATACTTATTTTGTACAAACGTGACGATCTAATTAAGCGCTTGAACTATTGCCTGTATCATTGAAATAATTTCATTTATATTGGCGGAGCGGCCTTGGAAGCAGCAGAAGCAACTGGCAAGCCGAGCTGTCGTTGCCGTCTATACTTCCCTGAGAAACCTAAGTGCTTGACCGCCTATAACCCAGTCAAACTGGATATTATCTGGCGAATGGACAGCTCCCTAGTTCTTATTTTCGAATTACAATAAACGTTCTAGATCGGCTGACAAGGTCACACAAAGCCAATGGGTCAGTGTTGGTCTGTTCACACCCCGCTTGTCAACGAGCCCAGGTCATCAGTATACGCAGATTCCATTATTCTTGTTCTTGCATTGGCCCAACTTCCAGATCATAAGCCACTCCTTGTGATCGTACGCGGGCAATCGTCTGTAAGCAAAATTCTGCAGTCTGAAGCGGTTACTGGAACTGGAACTGTTCTTTAATAGAGCAGAAATCCTTGACAGAAGGGTAGTATTTGAAGCATAGTTCCCGTGGCCACTTGCTGTCAGTTGGACCCTGGAACTGCTCTAGAACTCTATACCGTGAACCTGAAACAGTATTGGACGTCGGAGACATATAACTGCATATCTCCCCTCGAGCTCTATCGAGCTTTTGGACCGAGTTGACCACTACGCGCATTATTCAAGGATGGGGATGAAGTCCTCAATCAGCGTTTGCCTGGTCTGTCTGTCTATATTGGTGTAAAGTGGATTGTCCAAGACAACTTGTTAGAATCGATATTAGTGCCCATTTCCATTAGTGTCCCTGCTTCATCCGCGTTTATTCTGTCCCTCACAATAAGACCTTCAAATAAATTATCGTTGTATGACAGTGAAGCATCGGTGTTGAACACTGATGTCGTACTGTCGATGACGGTGTTGATTACGGTGACACAATGCATCTTCACTTCTTCCGACAATGTACGAAATAATGTAAGCGAATACTATGATAATATGATATGATACTATGATAATACTATGACAGATAAGTATGCCAGTCCAACCACAGGTTCAGATGTATTGTGAATTTTCTTTGGTGCAGATATCTGACCAAGTGTATTTTAGATTTATGGCAAACGATAGCTGTCCGTTTGAAGTGTAGAGTGACAGTCATTCAGAGCTGTCAACTAGGAATGTTCACTAGTATTCATAAATAAGTGCGGGAACTAAGGCCTTAGCTCCCGAATGTAATGTCTGACAGGTCCAAACATACTTCCCAAATTTGGTTCATTTTGCTTACCATGAACACTGATCAACCGTCATTTAGTTCTCATTCCGGGTTGTTCACTGACTGACAAGTCATGATTTCTTGACAGATACAGTCAAATGGAGAGTGCAATAATGGCTATGTCAACCAACTCGAGGGTCAACTGGGGACGCTTGTCTTCTTGCAGCTAGAATTTTGGGGCTCCACCGTAAGTGGCAGTGCATTTGAACGTAACAAAGACCTCCTCATGCCATTCATAACCGATGTGAGCAAAGGAGCAATGCGAACAGGCAGAGGGCATCTTCTGACTGACACTGAGGTTAAGGAGACGTTCAACTCACAACGATGGATGGCGCTGAAGCATACAAAACAATTTCTGCAGGTCAGTGAAACAAATGCCAAACTGATTAGAGCTTCGCACTATATGTCCACAATATGCATATATTAGTCCCAAGTTATCGTGGTTTAGATGCAATCTCGGCTTGAGGAGATTTTCAGCGGAAAATTAGAAAAACTGACGAATGTCAGGAAACTATTACATTGTCATCTTTTTTTCGTTTAGTTTGTGTTACAGCTCTGGATTTTCGGTTACAGGTGGAAACAGTATGCGCCAAAAAAGTCCATAAGTCGCAAATATATCTTCCCTCCTTATTAGTTACATCTCAAAAAACTGTGACGAGATTCAATCCCACAACCTTACATTTAACAGTTCGGATACACGAAGCAGCTGAGTTTTTAGGTGTTTCTGTCTAGTCTTTAACTCCCCTTTGACCCTCAATTAAAATATGGTAATTTGAAAAAAAATTGTGGTAGACCTACTGCAATATAAATTGATTCACGCAACTTCCAAACGCAACTTTTTGGTCATCTGTAGTCACTCACTAGCTGGTAATGTGACTTTCTAGAGAGAAATTAGAGGAACCAGGGCAAATTCTGTGCGCACATGTTCAGATGTCAAAAAATGTCAGTCGTGTTCTAATGATCCGGAGTCTGCCTCTTTACAATTAGTTGGGCAAATCACGAGTTTTAGTATGAAGCACAACGCTACCAACTGACATCCTTTTCATACCGCTAGTTCTGGTGAGACGCAACTATAGATGCATGGCAGTATGGCACACCCATTTTAAAGAGAACCTTAATTATTGCGAGAAGCTTCCCGAAGAAATATTACTTCCTGGGTGGCCACTTAGCGGCCCTGATTTGGAATTGTACAGAAATTCGCGGTTATATATCTGTGTCCAATATAACACTCTGTAGCATTCTAAGTTAATTCACTAATCACCGTTCTCTGTGTCTATTTCGTCAAATCCACTATCACGAGTTTCCAGCGAAAAGCCAAATCTTTCCTTGGAACGATCATTGATAAAGTGATTAGTCGAAAATCTACCAAACTTCTCCTCCCGTAGATCTTAACACCTTGGGACTTCAAAGAAAAAATCTTCTCTCCAACAACCTACTTCACTTATGTCCTTCACTTGCACCGTGACTTTCGAATGTAATGGTTTGACGAGATAAAACTCATTACAAAGGCTATCGCAAAGCCTCAGGAAGTAAAAGTCTCAACTAATCCCCCCGACTGACTCTGTATTGAAAAACTCAACACTGGAAAACTTTGGTAAAAAAACAACATAGTTTATTTTTTTCACTAATTTTCGCTCAGAACTGAATCTAACTCGTCAACACGTGCCTGCCACAAGGCAGTCTGCATCCGATAAGTAAAACGCTTGTGGTCTCCTTTGGATGTATTTTGTAGTTTGTCATACTTGGTCGCGCACTTGCTAGAGTCGTTTTCAGAACAATACCGCATTTGTAACCCCCTTGGTATGTTTACGCATATTCATCAGCTCATAACATCACCACTTGAGGACTCTAACCTGCCTGCGGTGTGTGCCCGACTCATTCGCCCCACTTCCATGATTTCATTCCAGGAAGGCAGTCCAGAATCACCTTGAGTCGAACGCCTCATTATACGCTGTGATCGGGAATGGAATTATTTTCAGGTACAAGTGATCTTCACACATATTCCGCTGTGATTTTGGATATGTTTATCTTCCTCCAGAGCTTCCGAGTTTTTCCAGTCGCAGAACAATAACTATTCTCTCTTGTCGTCCAATTTTGTTTCGGTTCATATTTACAATGAAGATTGCGCAGGTTCTTTTTCACCAGTTCGTGATGACAACTGCAACATTTTCACCAAACCGTACACCCTGACAGCATAAGCATTTGTCATTCTGCTGTTGGTTTCAACAGCTATGTGAGTAGGTCTTAAACGCTAATGACAGTATAATTCTTCGTGCACTGCGCGATGATGAACGAAAGTAATTATAATAAGCAGCCAGTCCTCGTAAAGCAACCCTTTGCGGATGATAATGATGATGTTCGTTACGATGTCTATGATGGTGACAGACAACTATGCTGGTAAAATGCACCGTGTACACCAAATAGCTCACTCCTCGAAACCATTTCATGGTCATCACAATCGCTTCTCTGTGGAACGGTTTGGAACTCAAAGAGACGTGGTACCAGTCAGTGTCAAACATCAACGTTCTACAGATTTTCGATATTGTTGGGTCCGAACCCATGTCGGCGAGATGGTGACGTGATGGTTGCCCATCCACTGTGAATGTGTGGGTTAGTGAATAATATGGAGGTGGTCACTTAAAAAGTGATAGAATTTAGTCATCCTGGTTGCTGCACTTACACCTAATGGGTCGGTGTGCCGTGTTTAGATTTTGATGCCGAAAATAAAAGTTCAAGACAACTGTCCCTTCGATAAATGAAGGGACCTAGAACCATTGTATGACCTTGTGATAACGTATCATTGGAATTAGAATTTGTAGCGAATAATTTCATACTAAGTTCCGGAGGTCTTCAAGAATGTACGAACTGATGCCTATCATCTGTGAGTAATTATCAGTGAAGCTTTCGTCCTGTAAGTGAAGCCAATCTATGTTGATAAGCCAAGTAGCACCGTACAGTTGTTTCATCCTTGTTGAAAATCACCATCAGCGTGCATCTAACGAAACTCCAATGAGTCTTCAATCTGCAAACTTCCGGTTAGCAGTTTGAACACTGACGGTTCGGCTACGAGCATTTGGTGTGTAGTGCGATTATCTGGTGATTAGACAGGATATGTCCCCGCCTATCATTCAGCCCCGGGACCCACATCATGAAGTCACAAGTTTAATGGCTCATCGATCAAAGAATTTTCAGATAAAAGTTTCACTCATTGGGAATTTCGATGGATATTTCATCCTGTCAGTGAAGCACATCTGTGCTCAGAAGTACTGTCCAGCTGTCTCATCCATTTTTTGAATCATCACTTTAAGCATCTAATGAAACTTCGGAGAGTCTTCAGCATGCGACCTCCCTGCTATTTATTTGAACACAGCCCTTCAGTCACGAGCACCTGAAGTGAATTGCAATTAGCTTATACTTAGAATATAACTCCACTCGTTCCTCAACGTTAATCTGTAAATTTTCCCCGTCTTACCAGTTGTTGCAGCTCGATGTTTATCCTGTCCACTGTGCTATAGCAAGAGCTCTGCTCAATGATCTTCTTGGTCTTGCTTCTAGTCAATTTAGGGATATAAAACAAAGAGTACATCTGCACGCCGAAAACGTGGCTGTAAACGTTCTTATCCTACTTGAACTTTAAAAAAGGAGTAGCTTAAATGAATGAAGACATTGAAGGCTTATTGTGTATGGTCAAAAAGCTCTATCATAACCCGGTGAAGCTGATCAGCCTAATCGACATACATGCATGGTAGACAGCTTGTTGGGGGATTATTGGTAGGTCAGATTGTACGGATGACTGTTATTGTGTTTACAGAGTTCTGATGTTTGGTCACAAACGTTTTCCTATAAGTGAAGTGACAGTACCGGTTCATGATAAGTTGGCGGTGAGTCCTAGTTTGCTGTAAGCTGTGTAACAAAACTTCATCATTAGTTTTATTTGCACGCATCGTGTCACAGTTTAGCGAAATGGCCTATTTACCAATTCGTTCTCACCAGCAGCATACGAGGGGGCTGAAGCCTTACAGTTGCATTAAACGACGTTCACTAGTGCAGTACAGTCGCGCTCAGTATAGTCTCAAACTGTACACGGTCATAGCCGGTGTTCTGGGTTTCATTGGGTTAGGTAAGCCTAGCTACGGGATCCAGGTAGAAAGACACTGCTAAACTCGGTTTCGTTGGATTTTATTTGTTATAGTTGTTGTATTTGCTGCTTGTCATTACTTGGATAATCTGGAAATTTTTTGATGAAGAACGAATATTAGCCAAAATCCCGTCAGGAAATTCCGGTCTTAGATATTTCTGGCGAAGGTTCTCCAGGGGGTCAACAACGTTGGGAAGGATGATGATCAGGATAAAAGGTTGACAGTTACCGCGTGATAACTCTAGGTCAGGCGTCCAATAGTGTTGCAGTCAGAATTGATCGGAGTTATGTCAATCGACATTATTTTATTTAGAAAGATAGTGTGCCTGAAGATGACTTCCAATTGAAATATCGTTAAGTGAGCTAGAAATGCTGAAAAGAAGAATCACGTATGTTTTTTGAACTCCAACAGTAGGGTAGACACAATACCTGTAAAACGGGACTCTAGCTGTGGCTAGGGACATGTGGTTATCAGTACCTAACAACCGAGGTGAGTCCAGGGAATGCCCGTGCTGCGGCTATTACAAAATGACCTAACGGTGGGGTTCCCTCTGCGGACGTAGGAGCAATCGCTGTTCGTAGGGAGTTAGACGAAGACAAGGAACAAACTGACAATATAGGTAGAGGAATACAAACGGCTGACTCCAAACATATAGTGATGCAATTTGCAGCGTCGAGTGGCAACGGCCCCGTGCTTTACTTAGTGTGTCCTTGCTAACTTCCAGCCACAATAAGCGGAGACAGGCATTAAGTTCGTTAAGAACCAAACGATGATAGGGTGAGGGAGTTGCTGACAGAGAAGCAATCCGTGAGGCACTCCACCCAATATGTTATGAAGGACGGTCTCAAGTTCCAGTGACGGCTCATGGGTTAAACTGTCTAGCTCAGTGTCTAAAGCTTGTGCATTACTTACGGACAATTTGGTAACCACGAATACTTCAGAGGAGGCACCTTAGACAGCATCCACAAATGTAAGGCAAGTATAAATGTCTGGTACCTCGGAGAGATTACTATTTGGACAGTATGCGGGTGCGTGAATAATTAGTTTATGGTAAACAACCAACACAAATGATGCAACAATAAACGTGTGTCGACAGTGGCAGGTTGATATGCAGACCTCAGTCATCCCCACATCACACTGGTTGTTCAAGTTCAGCCGATTGCATGTGACTGGAAAGGATACTAATGGTCTCCACAAGTCCCTATATTTTGGAAGTAGCACGCCTCAGCCCAACAAAGCCTTGTTTTACCTAGTTCACTAGGTTTTCCTAACCCCACTGCGCAGCAAATCAATAGGCTGGAACAGAGGCAAAAGGATAAGCAACCGGCGATCAGCAAGGCATAAAAGCCACCGAGTTGCTTGAACTATGCAGCCATTTGGTGCTGTCTGCTATTGGAAGGACGGGAACAGAATAGTGAATGGCAATTTGGTCAGTGGTCTTCCGGACAATTTCCATAGCGGACTCCGTAAATAACATCCCTATGATTTTATTAACGAGTTTTAATTGACAAACTCTGTTTTGAGGTCACCAGCTCCACCAACACGGGCAGTATGATGAATGAGAGGGGCGGTAAAGAGCAGAAGGAGAACACGCATACAGTGCATGCGCTGCCAAGTTTGCCCGACTCGGCGTTTAGCCTTCGTGAGCATTGCACCACCGGACAAACCGAATGCTAAGAAAGAGACTAATTTAAAGAACGCTCACCTAATTTTCAGATAGAATTTTACCATACTCCTATCTCTACTGATGCCGTTGCATTCTAGTACTAAGTGGCCTCTTCTACGACAATCTTCTGTGCACAACGCGCACCACATTTTTGCAAACATCAGGATTCAGAGTGTCCCAGAATAAGGATTCGTCACCTTATAAACTAAGTGCTGAATAATATACCGTAGACCCCAATGAACTGGGATCACACGTGGGTACCGCAGTTGATGCAGATGAGCCCAAAATGGACGCAAGACTAAATTGGTTTAGCCGAAACTGAGAGATTATTTAATGTAAAAAGTTACAGGGCAATAGTCCGGACCATGCATTACATTGATAATTTTGGGAGCTGTTTGCTCACATTAACGAGATCTCATGGCCACCAAACAAGATTAATTCAACTGTAAAAAGCAGTCCACTGTCACATCAAAAATTCAAAATATTGCGAAGCTTATATTTTCACGGTGTGCAAAAATCGGGCATAAACTGTACATGGTTTTCAAAGCGGATCCCATCAAGCCGGAAGAGTGAATCATTCTAAGTCCATTCTACTCACTCAGTGAAGCGACGTACATGACTTGGTCTACAGAACTCCCCAACGATAGCGCAGTTTATGAGGCTCACGTTGCGTTCAACGTAGTATTTAATACTGCGCTGGTGCATTCCAGTTAACAATGTTCAATTTTCAAAACGCACAAATACTCTGGAGACGATGTGGTTTTCCCATACCAGTTGGACAGCTCGCAAATCTTCTAACAATAAATATTTTTCTCGAGACGGTTATTGGCAACGTACCTAGACACAATATATGCTGCGTACAAATGACCAAACTGAGTGATATACAAGTAGTTGATACTTACATATGGAATGGAACGAGAACGGGTCTCTACAGCACACCCAAATCACACCGACATCTGCAAGATTGTTATCAATTGAACGATTATCCAACTCGATTATGAGGGAAGGCATGAGGGGGAACCTTTCAGCTGTGATTGAGGATGGTCTGCAAAAATGGACGTTTTTCTCGAGTCTATATACCTTTGAATCGCTTGGCGGGCACGAAAGCCTCACAGAATCGTGTCAGAAGCAAACGTAGCTCCAGTGATCCGCAGTTGTGTTTTAACTTCATCCAGTGCGATCATTTTGATGACGCTACATACTTATCACCCCTTAAGCAGGCGGAGTATTACGCGAAGGGTTAAACATCGCCTGTTTTTAACGAGGGTGTACATGAACGCCCATGTCCCCTCCATGTAATACGCCACACACTGGGCATAAAATTTTTACCTCTATATCTAAAACTGATGGCTTTAAAGTAAATTACCAAGACAACTCGTGTTATGCGTAGCAACAATGTTGATGACATCTGAAAGGGCACCCATTAATTGCACAATGCTATCAAGTGCAAAACCTCTAAGTTTGGAGTAACCACTTCTGCACCAAAATGCTGCATTTTTTGCTTAGGTGCTTGGACCAAAACCATCCTAATCTACGCGCATATTTTTGCAGTACATCAAATATCGTTGTCCACCGGAGAATCATACCTATGTCGAAAATCCTGGTGGAATAATTTCTTAGCATCGCTGAGACCCGGGATGCCTAAATGGGGATCAAAAGTTTTGACTGGTTCTCTCAACTCAGTTGCCCGTTTGCTTTAATTCATCGGTAGTAAATCGTCGCTATCAAAAATCCAATTCCATTGTGTGAATACTGAGCGCCCTCTGAAAAATCGTCAGAACACAGCTCCCTGCTGCGTGCCTCAGACATTGTGTAGGCAGTGAGGTTCACGTAGGTTCGCGGTTACCGAAGGCACGTTCTGTATGTAGGTGGACGAATTGTAAACGTCTGCCTATTCACCAGTGTGAGTCAGTATTTGAGCAGGTAGTGGTAGATATCTTGGGTAGCCTGTACTTTCCACAACTCTCCTAGGACCTTAATGCCTCACATCTAACGACGTAAATCAGTGCTTTAACAGAAAACCTTGCTGTTTTATCTTCTCGCGGGTCAGATGTTCCTGAAACGGGAGCCTATCGAAAATGGAATTACCAACTTGGTGTTTACACTTCGGTTGGTAGTTTTGCCATCACTGCTTCATTATACGGCAGAAAGTCAGATCTTGTTTAAACTGTATACAGGGTACGCCACCAGTCATGCCAGCTTCACTAGCTGCAACGGATTTTCCGGCCTCACCCTTGTCCGTTTGGACGCCACCTTCATCTGCGCATTGCGTTGCCACGCACAAACTGGAAGTGGCTGATACGTTCTGAGTTTGAGCGGAGAAAACAACCTCTCACCTCTATACCTCACACATGTATCAGTTTAAATTCAGTTGCGCCGAGGCATACATTAAAGTAAGCTTCTCAGAACATTCACCCAGTTGTTCGAGTAAGGTTACTAATGGGATCAATCAATGAGCAAACAGCCACGGTTCGACAGCTTGCCCATCAATATCTACACATGTCCTACTCACTGGATAAATGGTTGACTGCAGTACGGGTTGCAGTATTTTACTGCAGTGTCACGGTGGCTACGTCTACGGGGTTAACAAAAATCCAGGATGTGTTGTCAAATGGCATTGAGTTTGCTGCCATAAGAAACTTGCGGAAATCTCAATAAGTTCGGAGACGAATATCCTCTCAAAATTTCCATCGCTTATGCCGATCGCTTCACACACTCTTGTATTCTTTAGATTTTTAGCAAAAATACAACGGCCGCCACAGGCAAATACGAAGAATTCAAAGACGTGTACACACGCAAGCCGGTCGGCCGCTGTTCACCAGGGGACAGCTGGCGTGGCTCAAAAGAAAAATTGAGCATTTACCCAAGGGTATTTTATCCTTTGCAATGCAGCAATGTTTCATAGCCCACATCTTCAGCAACATTTGACAGCATCCTGATCAGGACAGAACAGCTGGTAAAGATCAAGAAGTGCCGGTCTTCAGTCCCTACGAATGAGTCGCACTACGAGCATCACCAACTGTTTGGCGACCCAACGTACCAAGGATCTGGTGAAGTTACGTCCAGTGACCCTGGTGAACGGCCAAGGACTGGTATCATGCAATCAGCAAAGTTCTTCCCGGAAAATTAGCCAAAGCTTGCTGTAAGTTCCAAGTGGCTGTGGATCTCACAGGACAATTGCGGCTATTGGATTATACGCAGTTCGTAGCCCGTAGACAGTAGGAGCAGACAGACTTGGACGGCAGATGGCTTACTGAGGACTGACAGGAACTGGTTCTACAGAAAATGGGTTAGTGAGCATCGTGAATTAAGCAAACGTACATTCAGTAATGATGTAATCAGCGGGAGCGGAAAATAGTGAATGATGCAGCAGGGATTTCCGGAAGCAACAACAAGTAAGTACTAAACGATGTAAAAACATACATGTACGGGCAGTCTGACATTATGAGTTGGCCCTATAGAAACAACGGCGCAGAAAATCAGTGCGTTTGGGATAGAAGGGACTGTTTTTTGGTTGGCGGCGCGATGCGGCAGCTCGTGTCACGTGACAGGTCAGATTGCGCGGTTCCGTCTGTTTAAAACAAATCTTATCAAGGGTTATCTTCCAGGTGCGGTACATGGGTAATACAAAAAATACAAACATACAGATCGTGGACGTCTCAAGTTAATGATCCCGACTGGCTCTTACGATCGCTTCCCCAATTGTCCCGTTGGTCGACTGAACTGCACTCTCGGCAGTGCCCTTCTCTCATTGCCTTCCGGGTGTCGAGACATTTTCCAATAAAACGGAGCCACAATCGTTCAGGCTCCCTCTTTTATTAAGCAGCTTTGACATCGTCTGCAAGGTTGGAGGGTACTTCATCCACCGGTTCCAAAGTATGTCGGCTAGGTGGATGGCGTCCCTCCAGGCTTAAGGCAGATTCGGTTAGTCGGCAGGATGGCTAGTAGTTGGATGATTTGCGCTCAGGAACAACAAACGATTCGGCCTTAGGGCTGCGGAGGCATCAGGGTCCGAAGTCGGTTTTACTAACGGGAGATTGTAAAGGAATTTTTCGGTCTCAGTGGAAGTTGTCTGCGGCGTTTCGTTGCCTACCAGTTTATCTCATATTAAGGCCCGAAAAATTTGTCCGATGCACCGTGTTATCCTCTCTCAGATAACCCCACGACGAATTAATTCCGGTACGGAGAACATCTTGCGTCACCGGTGCCATAGTAGCTTAGTCACCCCATTATCTTTATTCCATTTACTTTTACATTTACTTTAGCTTTGGTTCCTCTAAAGGTGGAGCCGTTTGACTATAAAACTTTACTGGGCTGTCTTGTCTGCGGACAAATCTTAAGAACGCGCATAGGAACGAAGTCGTGTCCAATGTGTGGGCCACTTTGATGTGAACGGCACAGATGATCACACAAGTGGATACACAGCCACATGGTTTCTCGGTGCCATGTCCTCTTTTGACGAACAGAGACCCAAAGTAGTTCACCCCGGTGAATGCAAATGGTCCGCGACTGCATTTGGTTTGTCCAATTGGAAAGGGGCATCATTCGGTAGCATGGCATCGAAAGCCATCGACGGCTGTGACAACAGGACGAAAAATCGCACCTGACAACGACTTCTGCCTGCGCAACCCAGCATCTGTTGTGCACGGCTGCCGGCACTTGTGCAAAGCCAACAAGGTCTTGGCATTCGTGGTTTGGCACGTGTTTTATGGTACGTGATATCCTATAGGACATCAAGTGTCCGATGCCAAGAAGGCCGATGCAGATTTACACGATTTGCCGGATCCTCGATATGGATTTTAGCCAAAAAGTAAGGTTCACTCCCCTACCATTCCGTTAGTCGGAATTCACAGGCTTGTTCAGTGTCGCCGCGCTCCCACTATAAGAAACGTAAAACGGCTCTGCCGGATTCGGGTACCTTCACTGAATGAAACATTGAATCAGTGTCTGCCATACCCACACGCCTATATTGACTGAACCAATGAAAGACTCTGAGTATACTATTCGCGATGTCTGGACCAGTGAGCAGCTGCGAGGTAAATGACCACCACAGCAAAAATGATTGTGGGCACGGGCAATGAATCCAGGTTCCTTTGCCATCTTCATACTAGCTTATGATGACATATGGTGAGTACATAAGGTTTAATCCAACTATGTGGGCTCTGAGCGCTGTTCAGTACCCTTTCTAGCCCGTGGACTTTCGCAGATAAAATTGCTCGTGTAGATAAAATTCCAGCCTGAGCATACAACAACCGTAAAATTGCAGCACTTAAAAGGGGGAAGCCCGCTTTAGGGACAGAATATCTGAAATTGATATTGTGTCAAGTGTGTTGAAAATCAAGCACACCTGTTATTTTGGGTCGCTTTCCCAGATTGTGAGATGCAATAAAACGTCAGCAGTTTGGTGATTGAGCGGTTTCGATCACTTCGCGCACGTATATGAAGCTAATCCATGATGAAAACCCGACAAGCACCGTGCAACCGTTTAATGGCTATTGGAAATAATCAGCAGTACTCATTTCACGATACCCTGAAGTCCCGTACCTGCGACTTCCTGGCTATTAGCTTGAACACTCAGTCGTCCGTTCACAATCGGCTGATCAGCGGTGTAATTAGCTCGCACTTAAAAAGGATATGGCGCCGCTCATCCTTCAATCACGGAGAACACATCACGCGGTCATACATGTTGACTTGCTTCTCAAGCAGCGATTTCTCTGATGGAAATTCCACTCATCTGGTGAAGTATATCCTCCCACTAAGCTACCAAGTCTCACAGTGAAATGAAGAAAGCCTTCGCTGCGACCAATTTTTTAGTGCGCTACTTATAATTAGACTGCTTAGAATTCAGAAGGTGTTATGCACTAACAAGTTTATGTTTGTGATTAAGAAAAAATACAAGTGCTAGGTGCACCTTATAAATACAATGACAATGAAATAAAAGATGACTTATCGATAAGGCTTCGTTGGTTTGAAGGATCTGCAGATGCGGAGCAGGATTGTTCTACAGGAGTGGTTAGCTCTTGAAGATACTCCAGTCAGGTAGATCCGTTGTTGTGTCTTGTTGACTTGCCGCGTGCACGGGATGCTGCGTTGTGTTGAGCGCCTTGCGTATCTCCGTTGCGTGGTGCGCGGTGGAGTGTGTTGTGTTGTCAGGTTCATTATATATTTGTACGCGTTTGCAGCGAACGTGGGAATGTGTTTTGATGCATGCTAGACAGGAACTGACTTGTGATCGGTTAAAGTTGCGGGCGGAACGGCGTTTGTCACGTGATTTGTGTGCTTGTGTTTGATTGTGTTCTGTCCTTATACAGGAAACTTTGACGTGTGTACAAAAACATGAATCGTTCCGTGCGTACTAAACAGGAACTGACTTGTAATAGCAGGTCAGTCGCGGGAACTAGTACACACTCATGTACTGGACAAATTAGGTGAAGCTGGTTGAGGGAACATGTGAATGTCCGCTACAGTCCCCCCGAACTTTCCTGGATATTCATTGACTGTTACTCAAATCTAAGCAAATGCTATTGAGCGACTCCACAAATTCCGTAATGGATCTCACTTTTCAAGAGGCGAAGCGGATTTACGAGAATACGTACTACTTGCAGGATTCATCAGTACTACTCGCCGTTCGTAGCTCAGTGGATGATACAACAAGCCTCCCACCCACACTGGCGTTCAGTTACACCTACCTCGGGCGATGCGTTTTCATCCAGTGGTCGTATAAGTTTAAATGGATTGAGCCGATAACAGGAGTTAAAACAACGAATAGCATTAAGGATATCGGTATCTGGGATCGTTTAGCCGCCAAGGAGACACCAGTGGATGTGCGTAGGAGGGGCCTACCTCAAAGGCTTGTTTGAGTTCTGTGTCAACGGGCTTTCTGAATGTTTGGTGAAGTTTGGGCATATTATTAATTTATCGGAAATAGCAGCAGGATGCAGCGGTAGACAATTGTGTGTTCGGGCTTTATGCAGGTATTCCAGAAAAGCGAGCAGAGGGGACAATAATGATAATAATAATTGTTGATTCCCCCTGTGAATCAGCGGTGAACAAGGGTAACTTTCCTTGTTTTCTGACTATTCGTGAGTAACATGACTTACACCTGTTTATTATGACACCGTTTCGTTTTCTTGCTGTTCATTTTCCCCCCGCTTTGTTGCCACTTAAGGTCTGCTTATCCATCAGTAAGTGATGTCAATATTTGTTGCCCGTCTGTCAATGCCTGCAAGTTCGCCTCGATTGCGCCTATTTTTTGAGCGCCCGCTCCGACGGAAAAGCGAGCTGCCCGGGTATCGAACCCGGATCCTCCGGACGGCAGGCGAACGTGCTACCAACCACACTGACCTGACACCCGGAGCGGCTGATTATTTTGTATTACCCATGTATCACGCCTGCCAGATAGCCCCTGCGGAGCTTTGTTTTAAACGGACGAAACGGCGAAATCTGACCTGTCGCGCAACACGAGCGGCTGCGTCAATGCCGACCGAGAGACAGTCCCTCACATCAAGAGACGTACCGACTCCTGGCCGTCACGGCCAATTCACACTGTCAGACTGCCCCAATATGTATGTTTGTACATCGTTTGGTACTTACTTGCTGTTGCCCCTATAGAAATCCGTGCTGCATCAGAGACTACTTCCCGCTCCTGGTGATTTCGTCGTTGTTGATTGTACGTTTGCTTAATCCATGATGCTTACTGATCCGTTTGTCTGTGGAACCAGTGCCTGTCAGTCCTCAATACGTCATTTGTTGCCCCAGGTCCGTCTGCTCCTATTGACTACAGGCTGCGAACTGCGTATAATCCAATAGTCGCAATCGTCCTGTGAGATCCATAACCGTCCGCATCTTACAATAATAATGTTTATTCCCAACTTGTGGGTGGCATACCGTCTGGCATGATCATAGTTTTAAGGTCAGAATGGAGCATGACTGAGGGATTTGTGGGGTTACGGATTGCACAAAAAGAGGACAATGTCACAAACAGTGGGGAACACCCGATGATATAGCAATAATAGGTTATTTCCCAACTTTCTGAGAAAAATGGGCATGAGGTTCGACTAGATAAAAGACAGTCAGGTGGCATGAACTAAAACTGAAAA